ACTACTGACTGATCAAGAGGATCACGTGACTTAGCTGCAGTCATGATGCTGTACAATTTATCTTAACTGCAGCAAAACTAAAGATAAATGCAGAAACCGTAACATAAAATATGAATTAAAAGTTATTCACTCATGTGAGATCAATTCTTCATTATGAAGAGAAAAACATGTATTTTGATTAATCTAGTACCATCCTTCAGAGATTTAAATCATTTAGTGGGTCTGTCTAAATGTTTTAAACGTCAGATTAAATATTCCTAATCAGATTTCGCACAATCCAAATGAAGACTGGATTAAAGTGGACTCAAAGCTTCATTTGTGTGTTTATTTGTGACATTTAGAAGTTTGACAGATCCACAAATAGGCAGATTGCATTCTCAAATACAAATCAATGAGAATTAGGACAAAACACCATTGCCTTGCTTACCAGAGCATTAGCAGACAACATGGGTTTGATTGATTTGTTTTTGTACGTCTAAAAATCTGAGGTGCCAGGCTCACTTCTTCTGCTCGCTGCCTCCCCTTCATGTTAGAAATGAGCTCTACAACTAGTCATCCTTCATCTTTCTTCAGACCGCCCTCCCCATATTTACCATCTCATCCTGACAGAGTTACATCCAATGAGTATGTTCCTGAATTGGAGCACGGCCGTTCTCATCCTCGCTAAAGCCATTAGTTATAACACCAATCCGAGTCTTGCACACAGACCATGGAGGAACCAGTAGCTAAAAGGTCAGCCTGTGTAGTGTGCTGACAGCATCATTAGTCAGAAGTCAGAAAACAAGTCAAATAGCCAAACCCCTCCAAGCTGTTTGGACAAGATATACCTCTAACACGGTTTTTTTCTCCAACAATGATGCTGTCTCAGCATCAGGAGTGTCAAGTCGAAATCCGGTCAGTCAGCGGGGAAGAGGCGTGTCACCGCCAGTCACACTGGATTAACCCATCAGACGAAGCGGGATGTGATGAAACATTAACTCATCAACAATATTCAGAAGTTGGAACCCTAATGAGATCAATTAGGATAATTTCCTCAGAAGTTATCACGTTTTACCACGGGATTAGTCTCCTCGATATTTCTGTTGGTTAAACACGAATGTCTGCGTTTTTCACCACAAACTACTATTTATGATGGTAGTGCTATTCTCCAGAAACAGCCTTGTAGTCAGAGAGGGCGAGAGAGAGAGAGAGAGAGAGAGAGAATGCCCAAAAGTCTCAATGGGTTTGAAGCCAGATGTGTCCGTGATTCCACTACAGTCAGCGAAAATCTATGAGCAGTTCACACTGTTCACTAGGGAGAGGTCCAGGACTTCTGTCAGACTGCACAAGCACGGCCAAATGCTGCACAGAAACACATTCCTACGCATGCTCGCATTTACTAAACATAAAAGTAAATAAGGAGGGATCAGCAGATCTTCTGCAGAATCTGAAAATTAAGTTATGTCAATATAATCTTTCAACCGTGCCCTTACCCGCTCAACACCCCCAGAACCAAATTAAGCACAAAAAAGGATCCAATGATGATTAAGGTGACAAAATACACCCAGGGCCACTTGTAACCTACAGCGTCATTCACCTGGGAGGAGATGTAGAGATGGACCGAGGAGAGCAGCATGGAGAGTTGAAAGGGAAAGCAAATGGATGAAATGTGAGGAAAAAGAAGATGGAGCAAAAAAAGGAATTAAAATGAAAGAAAGAGGGAATAAAGAAGCAAAATAAGGAATTAGACCCTCCGTGTTTCCCAGCACTGCTAGAACACAGTGGAAACAGAGTATCAGCCAAGGATTCATGTGGATGTGAGAAATAAGAGAAAAATAGACTTGTTGACCTTTTAAACAGTATGGATTAAATGAGGCTTTGAGAGGGACACATGATAAACAAAACAACTCCTCTCAGAGTTCAATCAATCAAAGAAAGGTGGTGAACAAACATGGTTCTCTGAAAAAAGATGGCTGTCAGTGGAAAGGCCTTTAAACACACTCCAACAACCTTACTTCATACTTAATCACTGTTGAGAAACAACACTGCAGCTGCAGACGTGGACAGATTGTGCAGCAAGACTCCCAAGGACCGGATCCAGTTACAGCCCTCGTGACAAAACATCAACTCTCTCCTTTTTTCTAAATTATTGAAAATTTGATCTGAAACCAAAAAAAGAGTCACATGCCCAGTTATTAGATTTAAAAGATAAATACATTCTTATTGAAATTATTTAAAGGCAAATTGCTAGGATTACTTTACTAGTTTAATTCATACATGGGAGATGTGGAAACTCCTAAAGATTCAAGGCATGAAAAATATGCCATTCCCATAACTTCCATCTTTAATGCCGCGTTTCCTCCAGACTGGGCTCTGGCATCTGAATAATATACAGTGTGTATATATATATATATATATATATATATATATATATATATATATATATATATATATATATATATATATATATATATATATATATGTTGTTACTTGTTGTGTTTTCCCTGTTGTGCAGGAATTT